CTTAATAACGTAACACCTTTTCCATTAAAGTAAAATGTAATTCCTCTGTCTGCAACCTAAAAATACCACCAACGATAAACACTATGTGCCAGGAGCTGTTGTAAGCACTTTACAGGTATGATTTACAGATGAGAAAACTGAGGTCTCGAAGTTCACTAAGATCACAATAAGCCAAGCAGCACGATGAGGAGCAAGGGTTCGGCCCCGGCACCTAGGCTCCATAGTCCATACTCCTAGCCACGATGCAGTTATGGAAAAACACCGCAATGTGACAGTACTCAGAACAGGAAGATGGACTGTGCTGATTACTTTCATATTCTAGTTAACAAGGAATAGTTCACTTGTGTTGGGTCCCACAATAACCATTTTCAGAGAAATGCAACGCCACAAAAGCCCCCTGTACCTCCAGTGCTGAGCACAACGGAAGCCTTCTCCGGACACTGAACACCCAGAGAGCTTGCAGATAGGGACGGCAAGGGCCAGTGCGGGCGGTCGCTGACTCACAGACCTCACCAGCACCTCTGCGATCACCTGACCTGTGATCTCTCACACTGAGAGAAGGAAACAGGCAGAATTGTCAAACACACTGCTAGCTGGGGCTGCACAGAGCCAGGCCCATGATCCATATCCGTGGATGTATGATAAGAAGAAGGACTATCATTCATTACGTGCTCACTGCCTGCTAAGGGCTGTAACCCCCTTACGTGAATTACCTCATCTACTTCTCTCAACGGTCCCTCGAGTAGGTGTTATTATTAATCTCACGTAGAGACCAGGATCGGGCTTGGAAGTGTGAGGTCACGTGGCTGGCCTCCCTCAGCTAGAAGGCACTGAGCCTGGTGGCCTGAACGTAGCACCCAGTGCTTGACCAAGAGGCTGACACAGGCACCACTGTGGTCCCAAAGCAATGGAAGAAAGGCCAGAAAATGGACGGTGGGAGGTGGGCCGGCTTCTGCTCTGGCCAGAAAAGCCACCAGTACAACTGCCTGGCACAAAGGTGTCCGGGGCCTGAGACGCTTCTTCACTACCTAGCTTGGAGTGGCAAGTCTAACCACCGTTGCGGACTGGAATCCAACCAGTTGCCCCTACAGCCCAGGGACCAGGGAGCATGTGGAATCAGCGACAAGTCCCGGACTCCCTACCTCCACCCCCACCTCAGCCAGCCAATCTCCTTCCCAGCTCCGCAAGCACCCCCCTCCGGGTCCCATCCCCCCAGGGGAAAGACACTTTTTATACATAGTCAGGGCTTCCACTGAGGGTGTTAATTTCATTCACTCACACCCAGCTGAGTACAAACATGCAAATCATCAAACATTTTCCATTTACCAGGCTGGTATGGCCCTGAGCTGCTGGGATTTCTGAGGGAGAGAACAATTCCATTTGCAATGACTGCTGCAATGTTTAATTCCCAAGGAAACTCGTGCCTGCGTTATGCTCCCCAAAGCCAAGACGACCATTGCAAGCAACTCTTCAAATTAATTCTTAAAAAGGAAGAATGAACGAATGAACGAACGAGTCTTCTGACAGGGCAGGATTATAGGCGCATTTTACAAGTTCAATTTAGCTCTAGATGGAAGGTTTCACCAGCTGTTTCGGTCAATGAATCAGCAACTAAATATTCACTATGATTTGAGTGCTTTTGGTGAAGCAATCTTTTGCACTGTGAACAATCCTCAATAGATTCACTCTGTAAATTCAGAATCGCCGTGGGATAGAGCAAGATGTACCTATTTTCACCCCCTATGTCTCCACTTTAGCAGGAAGGCAAAGAATGAACACCTCCAGGTCCCCGTAACCAGCACACAGGCCAGCATCGGTGGCTGCCATTTACTGAGCACCTACTCTGTACCAGGGCCCAGGCTCCGCCTTTCATACCTCCTTTATACCCATGGTAACGCAGCAGCCAGGCAGTGGGAGTTCTGTCACCAAATGCACTCATGGAAGCCATCAAGTGACACCCCTCCACCAGTGTGGGAGACAGAACAAGGGTCCCAACAGAGAGCCTTCAGGGGGTTTACAATCAGTGTATAAAACAGATCAATAAAAAAAATACCTGCGGTGAGGGCTGTAAGGAAATAACACAGGAAGGCACCGTCATTTGGAGAAACCGTGGGAGGGAAGGGCAGTGAGGGAATGAGGCCACGTGGGATTACAAAATCCCCTTGTTCAAGGTCAGATGGCAAGCGTGGGGTGCAGCTCTCGCTGGCTGGAACTCTTAGGATCACACCGGAAGCCACTGCCTTATCCTACCTCCCATTGCGTGTGTGTGTGTGTGTGTGTGTGTGTGTGTGTGTGCACGCGCGTGTGTGTATGGGGGCCTGCTAGAACTCACTATGGGACTGCAAATAACTCACATTTGTCAACCACTGCAAGCACCCAGCACTGCAAAAAAAGCAAGCAGTACTGTTTGATCCTTATGTTCGGGGTTCTGAGAGCCATTAGAAAGACAGGAATAAGACAGGGTATAATGCTGGTCCCCTCAAAGGCTGTGCGCTGCACACTGTTTAAAATCCTTAGACGTCTCTCGGCCAGGTGTAAAATGCTCTTCAGGGGGACAGCTGGCAGAGGGGGTAAGATTTGTGTTTCTTGCACTAATATCCTGTCACTTGATTTTTCAACTTTCCAGGCGTACAACCTGGAAACAGAAATGTAAATGATCTAAAGGGCAGATAGTGATTCCCTTTAAATTTGCTTTCAGAATGTACTCTGAGCTCGACCTTCCTAATCACACATGTCTGGCTCTGGTTAAAGTCTGTATTCCCGGGAGCCCCTGCCACGGCTGGGCCACAGACGGGCTGGAGAAGTCAGGGACAGCCTAGGCTGTTTGTACCAAACGCACACAAACACGCGTTTCCCGTTCCCTTGCCCCCAAAGCAGACACGGACACCATCCTGCTCTGCCGTGGAGCCTGGAGTCCCCAGTCATCCACCGAGACTTCACAGCCACGGTGAGTGTGGACCGCGGAAAATGCGTGCAGATCAGGGTCACAGTGGTGCCTGGGACTCACTCGATCCGGTTCGAAAATCCCGTTTCCAAAACATCAACAACCTTTAAAGACAAAGACGAGCAACGGGGAAGGACTGCCCCCCACCCTTGCTCCTGTGGGTCCTTGGCAGGTGCGGCCGGACTCTGGATCAGGGAGAGGCACTGCTCTCCCTGGTCTAAGCTGCACAGACAAACGCACCCGACACTGGCAAAGACGTGCTCCTGGCCAGCAGGGTCCAGGCAGACAGAAACCGGGGCAGGGAGCGGCTGTTCCTCTCCGCCCAGCCGGCCATGGGCCCCGCAGTGCCCGCCAGCACGGCGCCCCCACACCCCTCTCATGGAAACTACCGGACACAAACACACAAACTGCAAAATGCAACACAGGCGGGGAACCCAGCTGCTTCCAGTGGAAATATTAAGAAGTCTTAACTCTTCTACATCTTTCTCAGGAAAACCAGAGACTGTCTGAAAACAAATACGTTAAATTCCCGCTATAAAAGCTGTGCCTCTGAGTTAACGGATTTTTACGACGATTTTCCTGTTGGCAGCCAGAGATACCAGCCCTGAGACGTGGCCCTGAGCAAGAGCGGGGGATCCCGACCCACCTCAGTGAATACCCGCGACTGCTAAGACTCGTGCTTCGGAAGGGTACCGCACTACGGCGTGACCAGCAACCGTTTTTTCAATGGTTCCCCCACAATGAGTCAAAATCCATTAACAAGAGTATAGCAAACCTCCCCCGTCCATTACTTGGATTCTAACACTCCTGACACTTGTCCTACTTTGCTTCCAGGTATGTACACATGCACTCCTTCACCTGCGCCATCTTGGAGTAAAACTATAGGCCACAAAACTCTGCCCCTAAGTACTTTAGTATGACTACCCCCCAAAAAGGACTTTCCCCTACATGACTCCTTTACCACTATTACACATAATGAAGCTAGCAACAGTCCCCAGGTGCCATCTGCTACCCAGCTCATATTCAAGTTTCCTGAGCTGTCCCCCAAATGTCTTTTATCACCGTTTTGTTCAGACCCAGACCCGATCAAAGGCCACTGGGGAGGACTCCTTTCACAGCAACATGCTGGACACAGAATGAGTGGTATAAAGCCAGAGAGGCTGGAACTTGACATTACGTTAGCAGCCTACCTAGTTTTCCCTTTTAAAAAGAAAAATAAATAACCCATAACCTGACCACGAAAGACAACTACTGTCAACCTTTCTGTGTATTTTCTCCCAGGTTGTATTTTCTGCATAAACACATACCCACGGATACAGCTGCAATCACACAGTCTTGCTGCTGGTCAAATGTTACCTCCATTTTTTGCGGAGTGGAGGTAAAAGAGCCACGACCCGAAACCCTGGGGGCCAGCGGCTGGTCTGAGGGGTTGATCACAGTGAACACAGCAGTCAGATGCGCTGGAGGACCAAGGTGCCCGGGGCCACGGTTCAAAGGGCCCCCAGGCCCAAGTGCTCTGTGGCAGTGCCTGTGGCCCACGGACCTCCTCCTCCTTAAAGTGGACACTGACACAGGGCCCTTGAAAGGCACAGAGCAGGTGTGAGCAGACGTGGGCCCGCATCACGGGTGTCTGGGACGGGTAAGCATGAGGTTTCTTATGGAAAGTACTTTGGAGTCTATGGGAGAAAAATGTTATATATTCAAAAGCTGTTAACATTCTCTCACCAAACCGTTCCAAAAGATTCAAACTCCCGGATATCAACATTTTTATCTGGCATATTTCTTAAAGCTTAAAATTTTCAATCAGCACACCTGCTGCACGGGAACACAAACCTCAAGGTGAGCTACGTTCTCGGCCGAGTTGTGACGTCATATTGACATACGAATCGTTTTATTCCTTAGGACGGTTAATTTTCTTTAGACTGGACTATGCTGCACTGAGTGCTTTTTAGTGTGGAAGGTGTTTCCCAAGCAGTTTCAGCTCTGGTTCTGAGCCAAAATATCCCAATGAAGGCTGCCTCCTTCCTCCTGGAGACGAGGCCCAGGGCGTCCTTACCTTGTTTCCAGGGGCACAGACGGCTTCGTTTCCGGGCCTTCTGTTTTTCAGCAGCATTGCCCATTCTAAAGCCAGGGGCTCAGAGGGTTCTCCCAAGCCCAGGTGTCTTCGCTGAGCAGCGACTGAGGACCAAGGCACCGGCTGAAAGGGGCTTCATCTCTCAGACATCCCAATCACCCAGCAGCGAGCCCTGGCACACTCTTGCAGGAAAAACCTGATTTCTGCTCTGAGAGGTCTTTGCCTCCCGCCTTTCAAACTCCCTTCACTCCCGGGGAGGAAACCAGAAGGAAAGGCTTGTTATCGCCCTACCAGCGGGTCCCGTAACCGGTCAGTCTATATTAGGAAGCTCTTCCACGGCCTTCCTTTGACGCTCTATTACTCATCGGCACGGTAGCGGCCTCAGAGTGAACTGTATTTCCAAACACTTTCCACGCTGCCTTTTCCTGGGGGAGGAGTGGGCAATCAGGTGACCAAGAAGCTGAAAGTCAGAAATGGACCGAGTTTGGGTGCGCCATCAGAAACATTTTCCAGGCTGAGCTTTAATGGGTTATTCCTAACGACAGGCCATTCTCGTTATCTTCCCCTATGCCCAGAAAGTTGACATTTGAATCATTAGGGGAGGTCATGATTCCTTGAGAAGCAGCTGGACCACAGGGTCCTCATTTCAAAGTTGTTCTCTCAAGCAAATTTCTAGTTCATTTGTAAGGCTCATCAGTAAGTCAACTGTTTCTAACTTGGGATGCATTTTCTTACGAATGTGGCCAGTGACCCACCTCTGGTCCACACGTTAGGGAGGCAATACGGGACTCTAACAGATGAGCTGAATGGACAACGCATTGCTACCAGAAATAGAGCATTCACCGCACGGCCAATACGCTGTGGCTCCTTGTTTCACACAAATGCTTCAGGGATGCCGTGGACGCATGTACCATATAATCAGACTCTATGTGACCACATGTTCAGTATTGAGGCATTACTACGGCAGCCCAAATCACTCACAGAAGGGCAGGGCCCACCAAGCTCCTCCCCTGCACTACAGATGGGGTGGGGGTGGGGAGGGGATCAGGGCCACCACATGGTGAGAGAGCGGAGTTCCATCTGTATCCTTGCCTAGGAAATCCCAGTACCCATTTCCTCATGACTGGAAGAGGAAGGAGGGCAGTTGGAAGGTGCTGGCCCTGGAGGACAGCGGGCCTGGTTTGAATCTCTGTGAGCACTTTCAGCTGGGCAACTCTGGGACAGGAACCCAACCTCTCTGGTCCTGAGTTTTTCACTTATGTAAAATGTGTACAATTATGCCGCCTACTTCATAGGGCAGCGAAAAAGTTAAATATGATCTTGAAAAAGTGCCTGGCACATAGCAGATACTCTTAAAGGATAGTTGTTTTTATTATTTTATTAAAATCTATAAACACCCAGCTTCAGATATATTAAAGAAAACGTATTTACCTGCACAAGGGTTTTTTTTTTTTTTTTTTTT